TGAACATAGTTAAGTACTAATCACAATCATAAAGACACATTAGGTAGATCACAATTACAAATTTAATCACATATAGCACATTTTATAGATCACAACTTATTTATCGATCACAAATTATCAGATTAATTTGTCATAACTTATTTATTAATTTGTCACAACTTATTTATTGATCATATATTATCAAATTAATTGATCATAAATTACCCGTCATCTCCCTACCTAATCCAACTCGCACTCCACCACCGTCAACACTATCCAAAATGCCAACGCCACTCCAAATCCACAAACCACCTCTATCGCCACCTCCAACACACTATTACCACAACAAAAACCATCACTTCCAACGAACCACCACCACCTGTACCAATTATCATTGCCACCTCACCATCATTGCCACCATCACAACCACATGACTACCACCTACATCAACATCTATCATTACCACCAACGATCATCATGTAGTGTAAAGCCCGAAAATTTTATAGAATAAAATTTATTTTGTGTATATGCTATGTTTTTATATTTTGAAAGTTGAGTGGCTAAAGTGAAATAATATGAATTTTAATTTTATTTGGCCAAGTAATTAGATTTTGATAGAGCAAGATCAATATTAGACTTATTTTATAGTTTGTATTAAATAAAACATTATGAACTCGAGAAAATAACTATTTCGGAAAAGTTAGGTCCAATATATGAAACTTTAAAGAAGTTATCCTTAATTGGTATTTGATTATTTTAATTTTTATGGTAGCCATGTGTGAGATGATAAGTGCTGATAATGATAATCTTTTTTGATGTGGATAATTTTTTATTGTAATCTTAAATTGGTTTTGATAAAGTTTAATAGTAATAATAATTTTATTATTTGAAAATACTTCTTTATCTAAATTACTTGTATTACATGATTTCCAATTCTAGTTGCATACAAATTTAATTGAAAATTTCAACTGTAAATACTGTAAAAAATTTCATTATTTCACCACAAAAAATAAAGAGAGAGGGGAAAAATATTGAAAAATAATAAGAGAATTTTTACACACAAGATTGTATCTTCTTTTCAACATTTTCAATAACGATGTAAGATATTTTTGTGCAAGTGATTTGTGTCCATATACTTTTATATTCAATTAAATATGCATGAATTGCCAGTGAACTTTCGAGTTCTTTAGAAAAAGATATGAAGTACTACGAAAATTTAAGATGTTCTAAAATGAGTGTCACTTAGTCATCGATATACTCCATAAAAAAGAGTAGTATAAAGTATAGATTTTATTGTTATATAATTGTCTATGAAAGTTGTACGCGTCTTACTGGATTTTTTAAATACTCACTAGTACAATAATTTTACAGGTTAGTTTGGATCAAATAAATTTGTGTCAAGATGGTAATGAGGCTTGTCAAGTGGATCAAAGAAAAAATAAACATTAAGTTTTTTTGTCTTTCAATTTATTAGTTAGTTTAATTCATATTTTATGATATGTTATTTAATTTGTTAGGTAATTGCGTTTTTTTAAGATACAATTCTCGTGTTTTGTTTGAATGTATGGATATTTCAGTTATTTTATTTTAAAGAAGTCTATTTTTATCGTTCTTCATTTAACTAAAGAAAAGTGAGTTTTTGATAACACTCTAGGATTTATGAAAATTTGGGATGTTACATACGACGTTGCAACTAATACCAGGCGGTGCTTCACACGTTGCTACAATGAGTCGTCTACCACTTGTGGAATGAAGTAGTAGCCAGAGAGCCCCCCAGGGCACATCCAAGTTGGCGGAACAATCACATTGGGGGGTTTTGAAACCAAGCGTGGGGAGTTCGATTCTTGGTTGGAGCAGCCAAGTGATGTAATAACCAGAGGAAGGGTTGGAACAGTTTGGTGATGTAATAATCATGGAGGAGGCTCCCTTTGGGAAAGAAGTAAAAGCCATGTGGGAACCTGGGAACCAACAAGGGCACAACTTGTGATTTACCTCCCTGAACAGCTGAGGGGCCGGAGGTTCAAGGACGAGGATATATTCTAGCGCAAGGTGGGACACCTCGTTAAAAAAAAAAAAAAAAAATGTAGTAGCGAGAGAAGAATGAAGCAGCTGTAGAAGAAGTGAACTTTTGTTTAGGGTGGGTAGTGGAGTGGTGTGGAATCGCAGAGGGTGGGATGCCTAATTTTTGAAAGAATAACTTTATAATTTGATTATTAAAATGAGAAGATAAAAGCTAAGATTTAAAGTAATTTTCTCTTATAGTTATTTATTTATTTATTTTTGGCTGGATTCAAATATCCTTGTCCCTCACCCCGCTACATTGTTTGCAAATGTCATGATTTTTCACCAACAATTGGGAGGTACAAAAGTGAGAAATTATTAAAGCGCGTTCGGCTTGTTGTCCCATTCAACTATTAGAGCGTAAATTCTTGGACTTTGTATTCCAATTAAAATGGATTAACAATTTGAATGAGAAGTTTATATTCAATCTACGAGGTATAAGTTTCTCCTTTTTTTCATTTTTTTTAAATACATTAAGTTAATAATAAGATTTTTTTCTATTGATATATAGAAGATTAACGAATTATTTGATCTTCATTATTTTCAAAATATATTTTTGTCTCTTTTATTTTTAATCATATATTCCTCAATAAAATATTATTACATGTAAATTCAAATTTTTTCCTTATTTTTTAATCACGCATTCTTCATCAAAAATATTATTCCAAAATGCATTTTGCATAAAAAAAAATGAGCATCAAACAGGCTATAAATACAAACAACTAACAATATGTCAAGTGCAAAAATATCGCAAAATTAATTAAGTTATTATATGGTCAGGAGAAATATCGTGTAATTAATTAAATAAAAAATAGTCCTTTTAATTTGTAATTCATATGAAAATTACAAGAATTTAATTTTTGCTGTAATATAAATACTCTATCTTCAACCATATTATCCTTATAGATATGGATCTCAATTCACAATACAAATATATAAGAGTTTTAACTCTTTGAACACTAACATTAGCCAAAATAATATGACTCCAATATCGGATTTTGCAAATCTGATTCAAGACCTTGCTTTCCAAATTCTGTACTATAAAAATATTAGTACAATTGAAATAAATATTAATCTTAAAATTCAAAAATAAGGTGTTTGGGTTTGTCATGAAGCATAGGCGTACTTTTATGATTCATTCTCACAAGTGATTTTTACGGAAAATGATTACAGGTTTTGAATTTTAAGGAATGTGTGGATAATAAGTAAATAGTATTTATGAATTCTACAAAAATATACGAGTAAAAATAATATTTAATCATCCAAACACGGATTACATAAAAAAATTATTTTTCCCAATCTTTGTTCTTGATATCTAGTATCTCCATCGTTTGTCATTTACTAGACAATCCAAATGCTACGTGTTTAACAATTTTTTTGACTTCTTCAAATCCTCCAAATTGATGAAAGATGATTTTGTCTTAATTTTATGTCTTGTTGTCCATCTTATTATTGGTTGTTATAGATTAGGAGCATTTTGTTAGTTGTTAGCAGTTTAGGCACTAATTGTGCAATTTTAATTAAGGATTGGATTTAGTAAAAACAAACGTAGCTGTAATAGTATATTATTTTCCCCCCTAATTTTGATCCAAATCGATATTGAAAATAATTAAAGATTTATCGATTTTGATTTATTCGATAGTTTTATGACCGTAGTTGCAACACTTTGATGAATATCACAACATTTTCGTTTTCCACAATCAGTAAATCGTAGCAAGGGGTTTTTAAATTTATCAATATTTTATTTTAATGTTTAAAATTTCCCAAAATGGTTGAATAAAAATAATAATATTCCATGGTGAATTACAAAGATGAAAAGTAAGTGGACAATAATTGATTCAATAGCATCCCAAAAGGTTAAAGAGCAAAGTAGATAAATTAAGAAAAGTTGTGGTCACAGTGGAAAAAAGGGAAAGGGTGACAAAGTTATGGATGGCGTATATGCCTCTTTTGAGTAGGTTAAAGATTATCAAAGCTAAAATCTGCTTTTACTCGGTTCAACATAATTTATTTTAGAGTTAAATGCATTTGATTTCATCAAATTGACGTCCAATTAATGTAGTACTTTCGAGCACGGCCATCTCTTCAAGATTTTTTTCTTGATTTAAGAATTCATGAATATTTTCATTGTTCTCATTTGCGATTTTGGTATGAAGCATGTACTCTCACAAGTTTTTGAAAATATTCTTTTTTTCAGTGGTTTTTGAAAATGTACTCTCACAATTAATTTGTTGTAAAATTTAATTTCTTCTAGGAGCATTTTTCAGTTTTCCTAATCGATGCTGTATTCTTATTTAGATGTATTTCTAGTGGATCGAAAATGGAATTGGAATAAAGGGGTGTAGAACAATAATTTTGATTGCTTTGATGGTCGAGTACTTTGAACCTAAGAATGAATATGTTGGGGACACATGGATAAAAATTCTTCAAAATCTACGGTTTTATGATATATTTTTATTTTTAGACTTCTTTTATATTTCAATCACTACAAGAAAAATGACATTTTGCAACATGCAAAAGGCAACATTCATTGCTTGAATGTTGCTAAAGAGGTTTATAGCAACGTTCTCATAGGTGAATGTTGCCATTGGTGTTAAAAATTAAGTTTTGGCAACAGTTTTTAAATGCATGTTGCGAAAAGTCACTTTTGGCAACGTTCCTTTTAGCAACGTTCATTGAACGTTGCCGAAAAAACATTTTAGTAACGTTCAATGAACGTTGCTAAAAGTGACTTTTCGCAACGTTAAGACGAACGTTGCGAAAGTCACTTTTAGCAACGTTCAATGATCGTTGTGAAATGTCACTTTTCGCAACGTGCGCCTGAACGTTGCGAAAAGTGACTTTTTTGCAACTTACGTAGAGAATGTTGCTAAAGGTCTATTTCTGCAACACACCTTGAACGTTGTTAAAAAGATCCCACACAACAAAAGAATAACTCGAAACTCCTCAAAATCAAATCATTAGCCCTAATTTGTCCATCTCTCATCTCCGCCTCCATCTTCTCTCATCTCTACCCTTCCATTCACTTCCATCTTTCCCATTGGTGAGCTCGGTGGTGCAAGAGGTCACTGGGCATCGATTCTAGGACGTCAACCAGGCAATCGTTGACTTTGTCATCAACATCCTCGTCGACGAGGACTTCGATTTCGGTGGAGGGAGCCTTTGAAGCTCTAGGCGAACTCCTTTTCGACTCTCGTTTAAGATTTTTCCATCTTTTAATATATGTATTCTGTGTTTTGAATCTCAATCTGTTTATGATTGTTAATGGACAAATGGATGAGCCTGTGGTGGAAGATGTGAGGGAGGATGAGGAACACGAAGATGATGCTGAGGACTCCGATGATGAAGACAATGATAAGAAAGATGGTATCGCAGGTAATTTTTCTTCTCTATTTTTTTTTTTTTTACTGATTATTGTTATTTTTTACTATTAAAAGTAAATATTTAGTTCTTAAATATTTACTGCTTAATTGTCTAAATGGATCACTTCAGATTTTGGTATACAAGTATGAAGAGCGAGCATATCCATCATCGCAAAATAGGTGAGTGCTAATAGCTAGTGTCAGTTATCCATGTCCTTATAGAGAGAAAATAATTGATATAAACAACTCAACCTGGCTGATCCCATTGAAACTGATTTGGTTTTTCCGTTGCTTTATTTGATTTTGATGTTCACATGTTTGCTAATTTTGTTATATTGAATCCAATATGTATTATGCTTTCAGTCTTGAGAAATTAAGTTAAACCTAGTTCGAGCTGTGAAACTTCTCTTCAAATGTCAAAGCCAAATGAAACCATGAAGGGGCATTCCTCAGCTTGAGGACAATCTCTCAAAAGTAATTATATTAAAAGCATGTTTGGGAAGTCTTTAAAAATGGTTTTAATTATAAATAGATGCAAATGAATGGTGGATAAGTGGGTCCTCGAAATGTCTATATAAGAAGTGGTTTGAGTGTTTATAAATAATTTATAAACATGAGCCAAATGGGCTAAGATGTCAAACCTTTTCAATCCAAAATGGAGTTTAAAGTGTCTGGGAATAGTGATCTATCTTCTGAAGCATATACTATTTCAATCTAGTTCAAGTCTAAGTGTTAGAGTAGCATACTGAGTTGTGTACTTCTCTGATGTATATGCCTTCGGAGCCTTTCTACTTGAAGTTGGCTGTGGCAGAAGGCCAATAGAGCCACGAGCACCAACGGAAGAGATAGTTTTGGTGGACTGGGTGTTTTCCCACTGGACTCGAGGAGTAATTTTACAGGCTATTGATCCAAAATTGGGCTATGATTATGTAAAAGAAGAGGTGGAACTGGTTTTAAAACTTGGATTACTATGCTCTCATTCCGAGTCTGTCGCTAGGCCGAATATGCGGCAAATACTGCTCTACTTAGAAGGCTCCGCAGCGCTGCCGGATATATCCTCTCTTCGTTTTTCTGCAGGAGGCCTAACATTTGCACATGCTGAAGGTTTTGTTGATTCTAACATTTCAGAGGGCAATTGTTCCTCTGTTGCAGCGTCCTTACTATCTGGTGGGCGATAATTATGAAGTTACGGGATAAATGTAGCATCGTAAAAAGATTAATGACGTTGAGGTTACTACGGGATGCTATCCTTTTTTTACTTTCCTTTTGCCTTATTAATCATATGACAGTTATATGTTTCTGACCATGAATGTATATAATATTTTCATATTTTAGTTTCCTGAACAACAATCAAAATGTTTCTGCATGAAACTATTTACCATGGATCAAGATGATTCTAAATGTTGGCACCTCAGTGAGAAGATTCAAGGATTGTTAGGATCATGCTCATATTGACTAAGCAAATCCTTCAACCAATCTTGGTTAATTTTTATTTCAAATGTTCGTGCAAACTCTTCAATGCATGTGTTTAGTATCAATGTGTAACGTGTCTAATACAAACGGGTTGTACTTCTAACTCTTCCTCTTCTATTTTTCCTTCTTTTATCCAACACTTTCTTTTCATTTAATTACTATAAGAGTATTGCATAGTTAAGAAATTTGGTTTGGTTTATTCTGATAATTAAGAATGAGTATTGGCGTATTGCATATGTGTGATATTGTTTTACTCTTGAGCACATCTAATTTTATTTAATGTTATGCAATGTAGGTTGGTTTGAAGATGTAGTCCTTGCTTGTAAGTGTGGTGACATAGTCGTGCATTGAAGCCTTCTATCTCCAAATGTTGGGTTTATGGATAATTTCTTATTGTAGTGGATGTATAATTCAAGTGTACTCATTTATCAAAAGAAATTTCTTATTTAATGTTGTATCACATTTAATGTTTTAGTGTATATGATTCAAAAATTTGTAATGAAATTATTAATTTTATACAATTTCAAAATTTGTTCATTAGGGTTTATCTTCAATTTTGCTACAGTTAATATGTAGAAATTAATGGTTGAGAAAGAGAAAACAAAAACAAAAAAATAAAAAAAAATTGGAAAGGTGTAACGGCAACATGCATTGCATGTTGCGAAAGAAGCTTTCGCAACATGCAATGCACGTTGCGACATTGCGCGTTGCTGTTACTGACTTTTGGCAACGCGCAATGAATGTTGCGAAAGAAGCCTTTCGCAACGTGCAATGCACGTTGCCAAAAGTCTTCCGCATCGTGCAATGCACGTTGCCGTTACTTTGACCTCTACGACAACGTCGCATCCCACAACATATGCACGAACGTTGCTAAAGGGTTTTGGCAACGTTTTTTGACCGTTGCAAAAGATGATTTTCTGGTGTAGTGAATCAAATCAAACGCTAGCTTTAGCTGGCTAATTTTTTAGATTAGAGGAGTGTCAATTTGTTGTACTAAACTTTTTTAACTTACATTTGTTTGCTAATCTTAAGGTGTGTTTGATTGTTAATATTTTTTCATAAAAAATGTCTTTTTCCATCGAAATTTCTACTTTTATGCTGTTTGATTGGTTTTTTTCATAGAAAACATTTTCCTACTTTTGGTTATGTGATCATATTTTCTTAAAAAATCAAGAAAAATATTTTCTTTAGGAGTAGGATTTTTTTTTTTTTAGGAAATTCACTCTTTTTTCTCTCTCATCTATCCACTCTCTTTTATTTATCCACCAATAAAAACGGACAAGTATAATATTTTTTAGATTAAAAATTAAGTCAATCAAATACTTTTAATTGACAATTTTTATGCAAATAAATTATCTAAAATTTATTTTGTTTCTAAGCAAAATTCATGCTTATAATCAAACGCACTCTTAGAGTAGGTTTGATTTGCATGGAAAAAATCACTTAAAAAAGAAAATATTTTCCTTGTTTTGAGGAAAACAAAAACGTAATCTTCCAAAGAAAATAACTTTTCTTAAAAATAAGGAAAATTAGGCATATTTTCAAAAGTTGGAAAATATTTTCAATGAAAAAATAGCAATCAAATATTCAAAGTAGAAATTTTGGTGAAAAACTGATATTTAAAATAAATGTTTGTTTGTGCTCCATTATTTGTTAGTAATGTATTATGGAATAGTGATTGATGTTGAAATGTGTAGTTAAAAAGAAAAAAAAATTTTGATTTATATGTAATATTATTTTGATGAAAAATGTGTGGTTGAAAATGAGTAATATATATATAAACCTTTAAAGAGTAACATCAAATTTCACTTGTTACCCTTCCAGCTTCCAATGGTCCAAACTTACTTAGTTAATCATGTTATATCTACTGGATGACTTCGTGTGGCCTGGGAGTGTGAGTCGACTGAGATCAAGGCCCATGTTGGTTCATGCAGAACAAAATGAGGAGCGAGTTATACTCGTTCAACCCACTTCACACCTCTAGTAGTACAATCAACCACAATTTAGTTGAAAATTTTTTGGGAAATTGTTGCTGGTTTATTATAAAACAAAAACTAAAATATGTGATTTATGAAAATTTTTGAAGGATTTTGGTCCGATTTTTGGTTGTTCAATGAAGCAAAATTCGAAGAATCAAAAATAATATTACCTTCGCACTTGTTTGGGAACAGTTTTTGAAAATCAATTTTTCCAAAATAATTGTCAATATTTTACGAGATTTATGATTTTTTCCGACTTTATAACCAAACATTCTCAAAAATAAATTTCACTTATTAAAATATCTACCAAACAAACACTTAGTCCTTGTTTGGTAAAAATTAAAATTCAGATTTTAATCTAAATCAAAGTCAACAAATGATTCTAATAATACATTTTATGGGACCCACAACTTTCAATCATATATTTCATCAGTTTCTATTGAAATCTACTAAAAATTTGATTATAATCCCTTCCGAAACTAGGACTTAGTCAAAACTCATAAAGTAACACTACTAGGGACCTCTAGAGCAACTCTAGATACAAGGTAGTTGCTTTTAAAGACTCCCTAGGTGCTCTTACTCTCGTGCAAAAATAAAATTGGTATTGAAAATTTTTTTCTTAATAAATTTCCCCAAGATTATCTACATAGTATGCTATGTGCACAAGAAGCTTTGGTCACCTACTTTACAGTCAAAGGCTCCAAGCCAATGCATGGATTTTGAAAAGGTCAAAATCAATAACCTTGGACCTATTTAACAATACTCTTCCAAAATTATAAGTTAATCAAACATCATTTTTAATTATATTTCACAACTTTTATTTTTATTGGTGGTATGTTGTATGCATGTGCATTGCTCGTTTTATGTATCGGATGAATAATATAGGTAATGTTTTTAAAATACTAGTATTATTTTTGAAAATAGTGGATGTAATTGATATTTTTAAAAGAAAAATTAAAATTGTTAAAAGAATATATATGAATAAACAACTTGCACACTTAAATCCATAAAATTGAATTTTATGCTTTATTGTGAATGAAAATTTCAAAATACATTACAAAATCTTTATTTTAATGTAACAAAATTTTTATATGATCCATTTGAATATAAATATGCCAATTCAAATTTGAATAGAAAATTATGCACATATGTGAATATACTTCATTTAATTTGTCAAACGTAATGACATCGTGCTTTGATTTGCCTAAATTCAAGTAAACATATTTGATTCATTTCGATTATATTCAATCTAATTAGATTCTGTGTCATTAAAGATATGCACCTCTTTTCTAATAATACTGTGAAAATTAAAAGGAGATGATAAAAAATCATAAAAATAATTGGCAATAACTTAAAATAAAAGCTAGTTATATATTCTATTTCCTTAATAATTTATGAAACTGAAACACACAATTCTCTTGACAGTTATAAAAATAATTTTTGAAAGAAGAGATAGTAAGAGTGAGATAGAAGACTGTGGAGTGGGGGAAGTAAATATAGGAAATGAAAATGAAAAGATAATATGTAATAAGAAAATTGGTCGAATTCATTGCATTCAAGTACGTCTTTTTATCTCATCTTTTTATGTTAACGAAAATTTTCAAATAATTATATATTATTGATAAAGATATATTAATTAATTAAATGAATGTAATTATAAAGATTAATTGTATATATTAATAATGTATTACTACAAAAAAAGTTAGATTAAGAAGATTGAGTATCTAAATTTGGAATCAAATGAACTTGGACAAAGACACACCTGCTTCAAGAGAATTATCCACATCAAAACTCTACAAACATAAAATATTGATGACCAAGCATTGTTAGGTCCCGTTTAGTCTATTTGCTGAAACTAAAAATAAAAATAAAAATTTAAGGATTGGTTTATAGTTTGTAAAAATCAGGTAAAAATAGAGTTGAGATAGGAAATAAATGTCGTGTTTTTATCTAATCGTCTGGATATGTTTTAAATATATAATAGAAGATAAAAATATTTTTCCACTAAATATTTCATTGAGTGGGTATTGGGGTGAGAGTATACTGATTTTATTAAGTAAAACTTTTTTTTAAAATTTTTTTACCTCCACTCTCTTTTATTGGAACAAAGATAATTGTTTAAACATACATAAATAAGTTGAAAATCTAAATTTAGTACCGAATAAATTTGGACAAAATGATTCATGCATCGAAAGAATTATCCACTATCAAAATTCTACATACATAAAATACTGATGGTCGAACATTGTTAAGCCCCCACTCTATATAATCTATTTGCTAAAACAAGAAGAAAAAATAAAAATAAAAAATAATTTAGGGTTTTTATAGCTTTCGAAAGTTATGCAAAAATTGAGTTAGAAAAAGAAAAAAAATCTCGTACTTTTATTTAATCTTCTGACTATATTATGAAAAATAAAAATACTTATCAACTTATTGTGCTTTGAATGATCAATTTACTAAATGAAAGGAAATTGAAAGTAATGATTGTTAACATTGAATAGTAGGTTAAAAAATTATTTAAATTCTAATAATAATTGAAGGAATAATTGGAAATTATACAAAATTAATGATGGTATTATTTCATATTTCAAAAGTTTATCCTCAGTCCTTGGTTTTTAAAATATTGTCGGTTAGCTTATAATCTAAAACATGGAAAAACATTTCAATAAAATCCAAATATGTCCCCCATTTTAAATAAAAACAAAAGCTTTTAAAAGTGAGCAAAAAAAGTGAAAATAATTGAGCACAAAGTTCTTCTAAAGTACATAGTCAGAATGTTAAAGGAAATATTAAAGTATCATTTGTTGGCCAATTACTTTTTAAAGAATGATTTGGCATCTCAAAGAGGAGACAGAAACCGGGGCTAATATAATTTGAATGCTTTTTTTTTTTTTCATTTTTCCCTGATGGCTTACTTTTTTACCAAATTAGGTGAGTCGAGGGTTACCAACTTCGGGAGAGATTTGTTTCTTGGATGAGCATGTTTTAATGGCCACTTTCATATGACTTTGAAAAATTAAAACCTATTTCTAAGAAGTTATTTTTAAATAATTTTCTAAAATTTCTTTTGACCTGGTTTGTATGACTTTTGCTTTCATTTGTTCTTCTTGAAAAAGTTAATTCCTAAAAAAGTTTTCTATTCTAAAAGTACTTATTTAAAAAAAAAAAAGTCACATTAAAACAGTTTCTCTAAAAATATTTCTAACTACAAGAGGTATTTTCATAAAATTAGTCATACAAGTCTAAGAACAATTTTTAGATCTCAAGAACCCCCTTTAACTTTTCAAAAGTCATCTCAAACGAGTTTCAGAAACATCTTTTAGATCTCAAATGCTCTTTTTGGTTTTTTAAAGGTCTTGTCAGATTGGCAATTAGTAGAGTAGAATAAATATTAGAGCAAGATGACATAAGATGACTTTCTCTAGCCAAACAGGCCCTTAAATGTTTTATGAAACTCTTTTATAAGAAGTATAAGCAAAAATAAAAATCTAGGCCAACAACAAGACCCTAAATTTTTTATTTAAAGTTATATATCGTTTCATTTTCAATTTGATACATACGTTTTCTCCTTAAATTCATTTTTGATCCACATATTTTATGAGACTCATAGTTCTTATCAAATTTTTAACCATAAATTTTATCAGTTTTTGTCAAAATATACTAAAAATTTAGAGTGTGTTTAGTTTGGATTTCTATTTTCTGTTTTGAGGCATTACTTTAATTGCATAAAAAGTTCTTGATTTGTCATTCTGAAAAATCGTTTCTCAAAACAAAAAATTAAAAATCGTGTTTGGTTTAAAAACGTTAAAAATAATTTTATAACATTTTGAAGGAGCATGGGAAAAGAGGGAGAGTGGAATTTGTATTTAGGTAAGTTTTGTGTGATTTTATTAATTATTTTAATTTGAAAAAATTTTAATCTCATTTTCCTCATTTTGAGTTTTTTGAGTCTTTTCACGTCAAAAAATCGTTTTCAGTTTTGTGTTATAAAATTTTCCTTATTTTCAAAACCGCATTTTTGAAAATAACACACCAAACACGTTTTAACTATTTTCGAAAATTGAAAATGACCTCAAAATGACAAATTAAACTCACTATTAATTTTTATCTAAATTAAATAGCGACTATGATAAGCATTAAGAAATTGGCTTTCTATTAAAAATTATTTTGCCCTCGTTTGGTCCCCATTATTTGGATTTATAATGGTTGAATAGTGTTTTTTTGAAAAATTGATGGTTGCATAAGAATGAAAAGTTTTTGATTTGTATGTAATAGTATTTTATTGAAAATAGTGTGATTAAAAATAGGAGGAAGAAAAATTTTAATTAAATTAAAGAATTTTAAAGGGGCCAAACGGGTCTATATTTGAACTCGAAGTCTTCACATTTTGCTCATTTAAAGTTCTTTACTTTTCATAAATTAGGGTTAATTTCACAAATGATCACTGAAGTTACCAAAAAAATACAAACACAGTTACTGAAATTTAAAACTTTCAACAACCGTCATTGAAGTTCCGAGCGGTTTAACTAACGGTCACTTAAGTTTAAAAACTTTCACAAATGGTCACTGAAGCTACCAAAATGATTGGAATTCAAACTTAAGGACCCAGTCACGAGACTATACAATATTTGAGGGTCTCAGGCTCAAACTTTCGGTAGGTGGAGCATTTTCTAGGAAGGTGGTGAATTGTGAGGATATTGAGCCACCACACTTAGACCACCACAACTCCAACCTCCGACCACCTTGGCCACCAAAACAACATGCTAACTTGAAGCCCTCACTTCACTCTTTCCAACTCACCCAACCAATAGCCGAAACTCCATCAGATCTGCTTGGAATTTTCGATCAAAGGAGGCTGCTCAACCAATGGCCGGAAGGATTGTGAGCTACCACCTTTGGACCACCACATGTCCAACCTCCGACCACCTTGGCTATCGGATCAACATACCACCTTGAAGCCCTCATTTCACTCTTTTCAACTCACCCAACCAATGGCCAAAAATCCATCAGATCTGCCTGAAATTTTCAGTCAAAGAAGGCTGCCCATGCAACCAAAAAAGCCGAAAATATAGCCTACCCACCCAACCAAAAACTGTCGAAAATGCAACTTCCGGTGACACCCACCCTCCAGCTCGACCAGGATCATCATTATGACGCACCCAAAGATGCTATTATCACAACAAACAATTCAAAAAATCAAGATCTCCAACCCTTTTTTGCAACAGCGAAGTCGGATAATTCAACCCTAATTTTCGACGCCACGACGCTATCCACGATCACGGACTACCACCCCTAGGATCGCCTCTTCGTGGCATATCCAATGAACCTATGGGTCACCGTTAATTTCAAACCAACATGGCTGAATCGAAAAAATTGGTCCCAATTTCGAACCAGCATCACCAATGACCACGCACAGATCTACCTCCTTTAATTCCTTCTCCCCACCATTGAATCACAAAATTGGTCCCAATCGAGTCTCCAGCAGCATCATATGACCATAGGTAACAGTTCAATTGCACTAATTAATCCATTTCAAGCTGGTGTGTCGCCATTCAATTGCCCACGTTTCAGATTTTTCATAACAGTTCAATTGCACTTGAGGTCCTCAAATATTGTATGGTCTCATGATTGGGTCCTTAAGTTTGAATTCCAATCATTTTGTTAGCTTCAGTGACCATTTATGAAAGTTTTTAAACTTAAGTAACCATTAGTGAAATTGTCCGGAATTTCAGTGACCGTTTATGAAATTAACCCCATAAATTACTCTACTTTTTTCTTCTTCAAATTAGACTAATCATGCTACTAAAAGTACAACTCGTCTTTCTCAACGTACAATATGCCTGACGTGTATAACTACATGGGTTGTTGAACGGAAACTTCTGTTATCTTTCCAGCTCGCTCTCTCTTCTTTATCTGTCTAAATTTGCACACAAATTCACAAACCATTGATACATGTTATACATATATATACTATATACATACATTTATATGATCAAGAATATAAATTTACGGGTACATACGTATATAGCCGTTGTATTGCTTAGAGTAAAAGGAAAGTGAAAGCGAGAAAGTTAGAGAAAATGCCGCCGGCGAGCAATCCGCTGGTTTTGGTGGTAGTGGCGGTGGTGGTTTTATCTGCTGCGGCGGTGTTTGGTAGCGGAGGGAAGAGTCTGACGTTGACTCTAGAAAGGGCGAGTCATAACGGACTGGAGATGAGCGAACTCAGGGACCGTGACCGACTAAGACATGGTAGAATCTTGCAGCAACAGCCTACGGGAGTGCTTGATTTCCCGGTCGAAGGCACCTACGATCCTTTTCTTGTTGGGTATAATTTCTCTCTCTTCTATAAATATAGGTTTATGTACATGTCTATGTGTATGTATACACGTATTGATGGAATATACAGAAATGGTTTTTACCTAAATCATCACAAAAAACAACGATACGGGAAAGGAATTGATGGGTTCTTGGCTTGTGTTTATATTTATATTTTATAATTTCTATATCTGGGTCTCAAATTTTACAGTATGATTAGATTGGGACTTATTGGAGCTTTTGGATCTTGTTTTCAAGGCTATATTTTACAAGAGTTAAATTGGGGACACCTCCAAAAGAATTCTATGTACAGATTGATACTGGAAGCGATGTTTTGTGGGTCAGTTGCAATTCCTGTAATGGCTGCCCAACATCCAGTGGACTCCAGGTAAATCCATCATCTTGTGTGAAAATCTTAATTTTTTTTATTTTTTTTTTCATATATATTTTTGCTTGGAATTATGTCGTAGAATTGTTGGATGACATTTATTTAGTAGAATTTTATTGCATTTTAGCAGATTCCGCTTGAGTTCTTTGATCCTTCGAGCTCGTCAACAGCTTCACTGATCTCATGTTCAGATCGAAGATGTGCTTTGGGAGAACAATCTTCTGATTCATTCTGTTCGAATAAAAACCAGTGCGGTTATACATTCCAATACGGTGATGGCAGTGGGGCTTCGGGTTTTTATTCATCCGACTTGATGTATTTTGACACAATTGTTGGGAATTCGTTGGCCTCAAATTCTTCTGCACGGATTGTTTTTGGGTGAGTAAAGGATGAATTTGTCAAATTATATTTAGTATATTTCTTCTCCCTTTGTTTTTCATAGCCACTCCCAAGCACAGGTAAATGAGAAGGGTTGTTGTACCGGATCCTGAAGAGGCAAAATGACATGTAATGATTTATGTAGCCGACTCCAAATTTAAGGCTTAGTTTGTTGTTTATTGTTGTATAATCGGTGTATTTCTTCATTATTTGTCTAACCTTGTTGCATTGTCTTAACACAGCTGTAGCACATCACAGACAGGGGACCTTACCAAGTCGGATAGGGCAGTCGATGGTATATTTGGTTTTGGACAGCAGGGTTTCTCTGTCGTCTCACAACTTTCTTCACAGGGAATCACCCCAAATGTGTTCTCTCATTGCTTAAAAGGAGAGAATGGTGGTGGCGGCATATTAGTGCTCGGTCAGATTGTGGAGCCAAATATTGTATACACTCCACTTGTACCGTCACAGTATGTATTATCTCTTCACAATTACTATTGTGTCTTGTCTTATCTTTTCCTCACGTTACCGAGTTTACGCTTCCATATTTTCGAATATATCATTTGAGTAGGTTAAGAACAGAATCTGTGTGTTTTGTGGATTGTTCTTTATTCTTTATATAAGGGCGCTTGGGTTCTGATTTGAAGGAAATCTGTGAATGGGAAAATGCTGGTTCTATTAAGTATACTTTTGATTTCCATGTTATGAGTTCAGATTATTTAACATTGCATGCTATTTCAAATTTTTTCCCCTTTTTTTGTTATGCGCATTCTAGTATACCCCCTTGAACTGTTAAATGATTTTATTTCAGTGAGTTTGGTATTTTGTCCATTACTACAAAGGCATCGAAGTTTTGAATCGTACAACTGAAGTTTGATATTATTTCTGTATCTAAACTGTCAGGCCACATTATAACTTAAATTTGCAGAGCATTGCTGTTAATGGGCAGATATTACCCATTGATCCAGCAGTGTTTCAAACGTCTAACAACCGAGGAACAATAATTGATACTGGAACGACTTTGGCGTACCTTTCAGAAGAGGCTTATGATCCTTTTGTCAACGCTGTAAGTATGGCACGATTGTTCTGGTTTCTCATATTACGTACATTTTAAATGTATAAAGGTTCGCCAAGCTTAAAAATTTACTTACTAGAAAAAATTAGTCATGGTAGGAAATAAGTAAATTAATTAACTTGTTTTACTTACAAGCAACAAAAGGGAACCTATCTGAACATATTCGGACACAGAAATTCACTCAAAAGCAAACTTGATTTTTAAGCATAGGCGAACATGCTCTAAGCAAGCTACAATTTGAACTATAAAATCTGTTCAGTTTTAAATGTTCTTTTTATGATTAACCATGCATGCATTGAGATACTAAAAAATAGAATATTTTTTCGTGCAGATAACGCAGATGGTTTCACAATCCACACGCCCTCTTGTTTCCAAGGGAATCCAGTGTTATCTAACTACCTTCAGGTTCTTTCTGAAGACAAGATATCCTTGCCTAGATACTCGGTTAATCATTTCCATTTATTTTTGTTTATTATTGCTCCAGTGCCTCTGAGATATTTCCCCCAGTTAGTTTAAACTTTGCTGGTGGGGCATCAATGCTACTAAAGCCTGAAGATTACCTCTTACAGCAGAACTCCATTGTAAGTCAGCATTTTGGACCTTTTGAACTAATTTCTATTCTCAGTGTTGTTTGCTTAAAAAATTTACTTATAAGTAAACAAGCAACTTTTAGAATAAATAATTATTCTGTTGGTCAGAATTAGTAATATGTAACTTGTTTGAAAGTAGCTCTTGCTTTACTATTGTCTATCAAATTAAGTTTTATTTTAATTTTTTTGACTTAAAAGAATAGAAGTGACAGATTCAAACATGTTTGGAAATATAAGGTTAGCCTAACATAATTTGAAGTTGATTTTGGATCCAAATGGCATAAGCCTTTACGGCATGGAAATTGGGAATTTTCTGAGTTGCTTTTTTACCGAGACCCATGTTTTCATGTAAATTGTTTTTTACAAGATCTAACTCCAATTAAAGTGATATACTTGTCAAAATTCATTTATGACAAAAAATACAAAAGCGTTAATATACCTCCAGTGATGTTCAATTCCTTTACTGCCTAAGAATTTCCATCATTACTTATCTAAGCTATTAATATATTGTGGCCAATACAAGCTATTTCGACCAATATTTGCATTATCTGCTAATGATCTTCCCGTCTCTAGGGTGCTTTTACATGTCTTATGCTTTTGAATCATTAGGAAAAGATTAACCTGTTTCAGTGTGCAGCCATATTGTTAGGATAACCAATGCATTAATTTCACCGAAGGCCTAATAAACTAAAAAAGATGCTTGTATGAAATTCATCATATAACGACTTGTTTGGTAAGATAGATTAGACAGTATTAAACGGTGTTAATGAAAACAAAAAGCTATTGTCTGTTTGATTCTATTTTTCAATATTGTCTTGTATTACATGCTGAAGATGCTAGTGCATTATGTTTCTTCAAGAAGATATGATTCCATATTGATGATCTTATATACTTTTGGGCTAACGTGCTTTTATCATCTTGTTTAACGGCACTTTTCGGGATCTTATTTTCTATTATCGGGTGTAGATATATTCAAATTTTAATGAAATGCTGTTATTTTAACTGCCAATTATGTAATACTATTTTGCATGGTTTGCTCGTGCAGGGCGGTGCTGCAGTATGGTGCATCGGTTTTCAAAAAATTCAGGGTCAAGGGATTACTATTTTAGGAGGTACGGTTCATGGGAAAATTAAAGTATTATCAGCTAATAAAGCCAATTTCTACATATAAAAGAAAAACATAAGTATTACTGTTAATATATTTTTTCTATCTATTCATGCGTCCTGGCTACTTCAGTCAATCTAATAAATGTGTGTGCATTCTTGTTAGTCATGTTATCACCAAATATTTAATTTACAATAGCTTCTGTAGCAAAATTAGAGGTAACCTTTTTTTTCCCTCAAATTGAGACCATTTCTAATTAATTCTTCATCATTTGATATGAGTTTTACTCATGTTTTACCTCAAACTTGTTCCGTACTACTGCATAGCTTTTTGATATTCAAACAGGATTTTCAATTGATTAGTAGCAACTATGTTAGAAAAGTGCTCATTTATGTTATTCCGACTAATCCATTATTTTTTTTCTCTTTTTGTAGACCTGGTTCTGAAAGATAAAATTGTTGTATATGATTTGGCTGATCAACGGATTGGATGGGTCAATTATGATTGTAAGTTTTTAGTACCTTTTTGTACCAATATATAATAATTGATGCACATTTTCTCACATGATTCATTTTCGTGTGGATTTATTACACGCTTTTGTAAAGTGCAATTATTTCCATGTTTGATCTTCAATTATGTAAAAATTTTAGTTATGAATCAATTATACAAAAATTTTAGTGTATGAACTTATTATGATCAAGGTGATATTATTCAACTCATAATGGTAGACAGTGGTGGAGGGAGAAAGGGCCAGTAGTGTCGGTGGCTCCCATTGAAATTTAGAAATTCTTTTTTATATGAATTTTTTATTTTAAATTAGATCTTTACTGAATTCGAGTCCTGACTCCGCCACTGGTTGTGGTGATAGTTGTTTCTATACCACTTGCATGTTATATCAGCAAACCTGAGTCTTGATCAGTATTCTAAGATTTAATTTCATCCTATATAGGTTCATCTTCTGTAAATGTCTCTGCAACCACTGGCAATGGCAAAACCGAATATGTTAACACGGGACAAATCGACAATAGTTCGTCCCGTCTCAATTACTACGAGCTGATACCGACTGTTGTTCTAGCTTTCACGTTTTATGTATTGAGTTTTTGTCATTTCTACATTTTGTAACATTTAAAGAATGAATTTTACATTTCTTACAATAGTTTCCGGTCCAAAAAATGTTCGTAGCAGGATGTCATTTGTTGTATACTAGATTACAGTTTCTTTGCTTCTCTAATTTGTTGATTATTGTATAATTACTCTCCCGGAACGGTATTAAGCTTAGATTTCATACGGGAATACAAAATTTCCATTTATAGAGAGGTAATTTATTGTCCCCTTGATTAATGTGACTTTGCTCCTATGGTATAAATTTGGTCAGAAACCAGTTTGTCTCTTGTTTCCGTTATTGATTTTGTTTGAACATTTGTACTGCAACTTGGTCGTTTTTGGCACGTATGATTGAATAGTATATGACAGTATGAAAGGAAAGAACGCAAGCTCAAATATGCTGTCGTAAAGGATCGGGGACGGATCTAGGATTGGATTCAAGATCGGGCTACAAAATTTCAAACTGGGCTACTACGGGTAAAAAAAAAAAAAATTTTACACATAAAAAAATTGGTTTTTTACCAAAAAATAAAATAAAAAATGCCTTTAAAAAAAGCTATTGGGCTTGAGGGGAGGGGGGCTACAGCCCAGCCCCCCCTTAAATCCGTCTCTGTAAAGGATTGAAAACAATTGAATGCATTGGATACTTTGAGATTAAGGGTTTGTTTTATGAAGCTTTCAGTAAAAGATTCATTGGATTCTGATAAAAGTTGCTTTAGTCCTTGATTGGTTTGGCTAAAAAATAGCTGCTTAGTAGATTTTGATAAAAGTTGATAAAATATGTTATTGAATAGTTGATAAAGTTGTGAGTTGTATGATTTTAAATGAGTTTTGGGAAAATTAGTTTGAAAAAGGGAGTCCAAATGGGTGCTTACTGTATGATTCAAAAGGAAAAAATAAATCGTGAATTCTATAAAATGTGGAGTTAAAATTCAAGTTTGATTAATGAAAAAAATTAATAAAATTTAATTGAAACTTGATCAAACTAGCACTAAATAAGTTGCATCCTATAATGCAAATATAAATATATGTTTGATCATCATATCAAGTAAAGGATGCTCGTTTTCATCTCACGCTGTGTATATACCAAATATTCGATTACTAAAAAATTAAAAAAACTTTAAAAAATGTATACCAGTACATTCTATTGGCATTGAAAAATCCTACTTGTAAGAATATTAACGGTTGTGTGATGAATCTTTTGATAGAAGTTTAATTAATTTTGATAAAAATTGATAAAATATATGATTAACAATTGATAAAAATTATCAATTTCATTAAATATGTGGTCCCAATTAAAATTTGATCAATCAAAAAGTTGACAATGTTTCATCAAGCAAACACTAAGGGCGTGTGAAAGGTCAAAAATTGTTATTCAAACTAAAGCTATTTTTAAACAAGTTTGAATAAATTTTTGAAAGTGCTTTATTTAATTATAAAAGTTTTTATAAGAAGCTAATTTAAGACTTGTTTGACATGATTTTTGCTTTTATATTTGTATACTGTAAAAGAGCTTTTGAAGGAAGTTAATCTTAATTTTTGTTTAAAATTTTTTGTTTAAAAGAACTTTCTATTTCGAAAATGATTGTGCTACGCGTACATAATGATTTGCTTACACATGATACAATGAGATATGATTAAGGCAGAATTTATTCAACCAAATTAAAATAAATAAAAACTTCTTCATTTTCTTTTTGACTTCTCATATGTATGTAAGTCATTATATAATTTTATTATATATAAATAACATTATTTTTCCCTAAATATTTTTAGGGGAAGTCATATTGGACAAACTTGATCTCCAAGCTCTGCTAACTGGCAACAATACTTTTATAAAATTAGTTAAACGGCTCTATAAAAGTATTTTTTAGATCTCAAAAGCTTATTGACTTTTTTAAAATATGTCAAATGGCCTTTATGTGTAACACCTATACAAGAAGAAGAAGAATAATACTTGACTCCCACTTATAAGAATCACGTTTCAAAACTAATAAACTTGTCAAGTTATTTTAGAATTCAGGTGTTAATTTCGATCGAGCATGGTGAACCACTGCGTACATCTGCTTTCTCTAGCAATTCTGCTTCACCCTGTGGGATTAGATGGGGATGGGAAGAGAGAGAAGATAAAGAGTGTGGTAGAAGAGGGGGGAGAGAGAGAGACAACATAGAGAGATATTGGGGGCTGGGTTTGGGATTAGCCCATGTTTGACCCTATTCTTTAAAATGAAAATGGGTGGAATAGTATTTCTTTTGAAAAATAAGTAGTTAAAAAAGAGTGATTTTTTTTATTTACGTGTAATATTATTTTATAAAAGATTGTTTGGTTAAAAATAAGCGAGAGAAAAATGAAATAGAATTTAATGAGGGCCAAACGGGGGTGTACATTTCATTTTTCTCTATCATATTTTCAATTATACAATCTTTTCATAAAACAATATTACACGTAAATCAAAAAAAATTTATTCTTTTTCAATCACTTATTTTTTCAAAAAAATTATTTTTCCACCCATTTTCATTTCAAAAAATTGGGCCAAACGGGGCTAATTGGGAGTTGGGGTTATTACGTGGATTAAGGTTTAATCAAATTTTTATTAATTATAATTAATAATTTTATTTATCCTGGAATCTGAATTTTAAATTTTATCCTCTTATTTATGAAAACTAATATTTAGGTCTCGTTTGGTACCCATTTTTTTAAAATGTATTTTTTTCTCTCTTCTTTTCAACCACACATTTTTCATTAAAATAATATTACACGTAAATAAAAAAAAATCTTATTTTTCAACAACACATTTTCCATTAATTTACTATTCCAAAATACATTTTTGAATTATTCTAATTGTACAATCATATTTCACAATTTGGTTGACAATTGATGAAGTGTGGAGATCCACACCATTGATTGAAAAAATAGTTTTTAAAATTTGTGGTTGGAATTTGTGCCAACTCAATGATTGTAAACCAAATTGTAAAATAGATTGTACATATAGTATGCTTCTACATTTTTAAATAAAAATGGCTCTCAAACACCCTCTTATTAAATTGTAGCAAAAAAAGAGAGGGAAAAAAGGGGGGTAAAAAGTTTGATTAATTACCCAACTTACCTCTATGTCACTTTGTGGTCACTGAACTTTTGTTTGCTGCCCAACGGTCACTAAACGTACATATGAGCCGCTCCATCCATCACCCGGTGTTCCAGTCGTTTGAACCAATCCGACGTGGCTGGACAGCAGTTTACATGGCAATGGACGGCGTGAAACTCAGCCATGGTGGACGCGACTTCCATTTAAACATACGATTCCTCACGTTTAACAATTGAAATCCCCTAACCCATTTCTCTCAAGCCCTAGATCTATTTCCCCCAATTAGCTCTTCCAAACTTGGCGATTCCAGATTGCTTCGCCTTCCTAGCAACATCGGATGCAGCTTGTCTTCATCGTCGTCTTAGTAGCACCGTCGTTCTGTCGACACAAGACCCGCATCCCGGTTGACAGTTTTCAAAACGCGGCAAAAGGAAAGAGGTAATATCCTGAAGTTCCTTATTCTAGTTTGAACGGGAAGGTTGGCCTTGCTTCAAATTCCGGCAGTCAGTTGGTAATGGACAACCGGTTCCATTATTTTTTTTCCCTCATTGAATTTGTTACTGTTATTGAATTTTTTGAAATTTGAAGTTGAAAATGAAGTGGCTTTCATTACCTTGTTATTGATTCATTGACTGTTAAAATAATTTTTTTGTGAAATGCGGAGTACTAGTGGTAGTCTCTCTTGCGGGCATTGGGTCTGGCTAAAATTGCCTTTCCACAAGAGATGCGTGTGCTTGAACAATGGTTATTTTTAATGTTGCTGGAGGTTTTATCAAATGAAAAAATGATGAGATATGTTTGCTTAATTAGAAGAGAGGTTAGGTACTTAATATGTGGCAGGATTCGCAGCAAACCGCAACAAGTTTAGGCTGAATTGTATACTTTCGGTTATACAAGTAACCCAGTGAATTTCTATAATTGAGATGTCTTATGTTTTCTGAGTTATGGTTATTTTGGTCTTCTTAGTAATGGCAGGACGAGAGTACTTTCCATAATCCATGTGGTTAATTGCGATAAATTTTGTGTATAGAGTTTTGTTCCAACAGCTAATGTAATGTGTGTTCAAAGTGAAACTCCTTTTACAAAAATCCAAACCCTCCAATCCAAGTCCAAATCTTTCTCCAAATCCAAACAAACAAACAACATAAAAGTTTCCTTATAAGTTAGAACTCATCTCATAAGTTCCTTTAACTCCAAGCTTCTATAAAGGAAACATTATTTAATTATATTTAGTTTCATCCCCTACTTATATTTTTATTTTTTCATTTGAACATTATCTCTATAACCATCCCACAGAATGACCAGTAAAGTATTGTGGAGACAAATGAATGACTAGAAAAAGTATTCTGTGGAGAAATGAATGAATGACTCTGTTATAGTTATATCACATTAGTTTGCTAATTACATCGTACACCTTTCTACTCTTTGATGTGCAATAACAGGGACAAATAGGGGCATATGTCACAGTTATAGGAAGCCTGGGCACTTCTTGTATGATTGCCCGACAAAGACTGGGTAAAATTTGATGTGTTGGGAGAGAACTGCACGCATGGACTCTTAAAGATGGACCAGCCGCCACTTCATATAATATTCCTACGGACGAGGTTAACTTCGAAGTGTTGGTGGAGAAGCTGCAACACATAGACAATGCCGAATATTCAAGGTTGAGATCGAAAAGGGAACGAAGAAAACGACTTGTTAACACTTTTACAACAACGTCCCTATAGTCTTCAGGCAATACCAAACGGGCCGATTAATATTAATACCAAATGGAAAGGCTATGCCGAACCAAGCTATGCTGGCGAAAATGGAGAGAGTCTTGGGTGTGAAGCTGAGACGAAAATTTGTACATCAATGATGATTATAATTGAATATTGAAATTACTAGTCTCCGTGTTGATTTAGAATAAGAGAGGGAAAAAGCACAGAAAAATGTGATGTTGGATAGTCTGGAAGTGGAATTAACTGGTTATGTTATATAATTTGAATTGTTTATAGCTTTTTTGGTCTTTCTCATATCCATCCAGATGCACAATGAATCAAATGAAAAACTAAATTTTTTTATGAAAATAGCAGCACTGGAACAAGAAGAAAACATAAATTATCATGTGTAACAATTTTACAGGAAAAGTGAGGGAATTCGTCGAAAGTGTTTACTGTAAGTAGAATAAGTGCCTACATATCCTAAATTTAATTTCCAGTGACAAAGAAAAGAAATACAAAGGCTGAATCAAAACAAGTCTATTTCATTGATCAAAAGCCATGCATCCAATTTACAATGTTAATTTCCATGCACAGCCATCAATGAACTAATTCTACCACTAGAAAATACATTAGAGGATATCCAATAAACAGTTTAACAAAACATAGACTCCATTGACAAAAAGGCCACCATGGCTATTTCAACATCGGCAATGTGTTGCAACTGATCGACCAAAAGGAGCTGTTGGTCTATATTCAAATATCATTTTTAGTGATCCTCTTGCAATCGTAGGTGTAGGCATGAATTGCATTCGATTTTCTTCCCTTCGGCTTTGGCTCAATGTTCCATTCCCTCTTGTGGCAACCAATTTACCTTGCCAAACACAATTATTAAAATTGAACTATAATGATTAATATCGGCCAAACACAATTATTAAATGACACCACGAAATGCAACTAGTCCTTGTCATACTTGTTCATTTACCAATACATTGCAATTGTTTTCAACTGGTTGTATTTCAGCTTCTACCCAATCCTGTGGTAAGTTAGAAATTAACAATATGACATTATTCATAACGAATGTCAGACTTACATGCACAAATAGAATGGTACACTTACATCAACTGGCGCATTTGTGCTAGAATGATATCGCTTATTGTATCCCTTCAATCCGCATTGCGAGCAAGTCATCGTCACAACCCCCTTCTTCTTCACATATGCTTTTCCCTTCGTGCACACAACCATTTCTTCTGCTTGTTTTCAGCTCTTTTTCTGTTTTTTCCCCTGCAAGGCACAGTCCACTTAGGGGGGGAAATTGTAGGTGCATCTACTTCGGGCCACAATAATTTTCCATTAATTGGATTCATAATATTATTGTAACATCCCATGTATGTCTTAATACTATAACAGTTGTCAACGAAATCTTCGGGTTCATTCCTGCAATCGCGTATCACGAAAACGACATGCATACACGTTATACCTGTAATATCCCATTTCCTGCGCGCACATGTTCGTTCCTCAAGATCGACAACAAATGTCCCATAACTGCATTCTACTTGCCACTTCCCCCCCCCCTCCCTCCCGAGAAGTGCAAAATACATTCCCTTGACATATCACTTGTCTTATCCAACTTTTTTCGAATCTTTGGACACAAACGACCTTGGCATACTACCATCTTATCTCGCCTTTTTTGTATCCTTGTCATGAAAGTCATATGCATTAATGTAAGCATATTCAATATCAACTTCTCTCTGTCCTCTAACAGTGTGTTATTGAACACTTCGTAGCCGTTGTTAAGTACCATGTCGCTCTTCGAACGCACCGAAAAATGTGACTGACTCCACTCCCGGGGGTGCCTGTGTATCAACCAATCATATGCAGCAGTACTCACGTCGTGAAGTTTTTGCATCCACATTTTAAATTCAGCAACGGTTGTGGACTTCGCCGCACGCCAAAGATAATCCTTAAGAATTTTGCTCTTGAATCCCGCATTGAAGAAGTTCATGTACAGATGTCGTACACAAAACCGATGTTCTGCCTCCGGGAACAATTCATCACATACGTTCGGAAGCCCCTTTTGCTTATCAGTCATCAATGTCCACCCACATCCATTTTCCATTTGAATATCCTCGGCCAGATATGTCATGAACCATCTCCATGCTCCCATATTCTCCTTTTCGACAACGGCATACGCCACTGGGTAAATACAATTATTAGCATCATGTCCAACTGCTATTAACATAATACCACCAAAACAACCCCACAAATGGCACCCATCAACACCAATCACTTTCCTACAACCATCCCTAAACCCGAGTTTGCAGGCATTAAAGCATATATATATTCCCTTGAATACTTGCTCATTCAGGGTGATGAATACCGAAGATCCTGGGTTTGTTCTATAAACTTCCATAGCATATCTCCTCAATAGGCCAAATTGCTCCTACAGGGTACCAAACAGGATCTCCTTTGCATATTACCTCATCTTACAAGCGACATTTCTACTTATTTTCGTCTTCAGATCATTCCTTACAGTTGCCAAAATGGACTTTGTCTTCCAATTAGGATCTGCTTTAAATTGTTCAATATATCGATGTGTCAGGAAAATCTAGTTGCAATGTCTATTGTATTTACTCCGTGTGCATGTGTGTTCGGGCGTGTAAGACTTCACTTGCACCGTCTCAGTCTCGTTCAACTTCGAAGCCCAAATCCTCCAAGAGCACCCCGGTTTGCAAACTCCTTGACATCTTTTCCTATCACTACACCTCAACTTCACATTATATCCGTTCGGAGCACTGTAACTTCCCACTGCGCATCTAAACTCTTGCATTGATCAAAATAGTTGTCCAACCTCTAACTTCGGATTTCTCATATCCGTCTCAACAAAGAATTCAGGGAAGCGATGATCAACCTCTTCATCCGATGAACATTCCAACATTAGCTCTTCGGAGGATGGATACTCCAATTCATCAAATGTGTTGGTCTCATCTATCTCCCCTTGAAGCACTGCTTCACCTTGTCCTACAGTGTTGATGTCCATACTCATTTCAATACAGTCTATCACATTAAGATCATACAGCATATCGTCTTCCTCAGAGGCCATATCAAGATCCGATTGAGAGAAGTCAGAGTCTTCCTCGCCACCTGTAATCGTCCAAAAAAAATAAAATTAAAACAAATATCTTTCTTCCACCTGTAATGTAGACAATTAAACCAGCTGCTATTTGTTGTGTAATGAAATGGAGTCTCAGTTAGCGTTTTCAATCTAAAACAGAAGTCTCGTTGAGTTGAAATAGCTTATAATTCGCAAGTTGGATGGCATAATCGATTATGAAATTAAACAACGGTACTTACCTCCACTTTGGTCTCCCTTCATGATTGCAATTGAAACGGCTTCAAGGGAGAAGAACAATCGCCTGCAAGGGAAAGAAGAAAACGTTCTAGGGCTCGGACCTTGAATTAGGGATTTAGGGCA